TCTAGTGCGAATTACAACATGTTTATATTCAAATAAATCAGTATCTTACAAGAATCCCAGCTATGTTAAATATATTTTCCTAGGTCATATCACTGGCATTTTAAAATGAGAGAAGCTTAGTAGGACTGTTAAATAAACACACAGAGACCTTCGCCTCAAACTTATCACCTCAACCCTACACTCCCCCCCCCAACCCCTCGCTGGGTGGCTGGCTCTGTCAGTCCCTCCCTCCCTCCCTCCCCTCCCCCCCCAACCAGGCTTTTAGGCTTACAGTTTATATCTTATATAATATCTCAGACTAAAGTTATGAGATTATAATTTGCATTGCTGGAATCCTTGCAAGACAGCCAATAATTTGAATATAAACATCAGATTCTCTGATGTTTGGGTATCAAAATGATCTAGTTTCAGTAGTACAGTACTTAGAAACTCCTGGCTATCCCCAAGGACAGTATCACATGATGCCATTCGTACTGGCAGCCTCGACACTCACTTACTTGACAAGTGTTACGAACAATAAAGACAGTTGAAGCTTTCAACATCACTCACAAAGGATCTTGAATGCTTCAACTGTAATCAGACATATCTAAGTTGACTCAAAACAATGGTGTTCTCTCACATCCAAATTTACTTTATAGAGAGGTTGGTTTCAGGGAGTCAGAGAAAATGGCCAGCACCCACGCTTGGGAGCGATGAGAAAACGGACGCCTCAGATGGGAGACTCAATAAAGAAGACAGCTACATGTTTTGTGGGCTATTGAGCGTAATATGAATCATCTGATTTTACGTTAACTGACGTGTACGATCGTGGTCATTACAAAGCAAAAACACTAAAAGGATTATGGTCTGTAAATACAAAAACTGTTTCCCAGAACCCCTCAAATAAGCATTAAAATTATTCAAACTCAAAATCAAAGCTAAAGTTTCCTTCTCTATGGTGCTATAATTTCTTTGATAAGAAAGAAACTTTTTAGAAAAATAACACATTGGATGGTCAATATCCTGCTTCTCCTTCATCAGGACTCCACCAACATCACTAGCATCTACATACAAGTTGAATGGTTTCTCATAATTTGGGGTCGACAAAATTGGAGCATTTATTAACATGTTCTTCATCTTATTAAAAGCATGATGACGACGATCATCACAAACAAACTTTATTTTCTTTGACGACTGCCTAAAAATCTTAACAACTCTTTCTTATCTGAAGGAGCTGGAAACATTACAATACTCTTAACTTTTGCATCAATTGGTTGTACCTGACCTTGACCCACAACATATCCCAAGCATTCTACAGTAGCTTTTACAAAATCACTTTCCATCAAATTTACAGTGGGATTTGCTTTATTTAACCTATCAAACACTTCTTTAATTAGACAAACATGATCTTTCCATTCCTCAGAATATAATATAATATCATCAATATATACAGAACAACCATTAACATCACGCAATACTTCATTCACTAATCTCTGAAAACAACTTCCACTTTATATTGATACAGTCCATCCATTGTAACAAAAGCCAAGATTGCCTTCGCTCTCTCAGTCAAACCCACCTGCCAAAACCCTTTCAGCAGTTCAAATTTGCTCACAAATCTAGCATCTCCAACCTGGTCAATACAATCATCAATCCTAGGAATAGGATAAGAATCAGTTTTAGTTATATTATTTATCTTTCTATAATCTGTGCAAAATTTATAGGAAACACCATCAAGCTTAAGAACTAGAACACAAGGCAAACTCCATGGACTGTTACTGGGTTCAATCAAGTCATTCTCCAGCATATATTAAATTTCTTTCTTTCTCAGATTTACTCTATATGGATGTTGATTAATAGTGAATACACTCTCTATCTCTATACTGTGAGTTACAATAGTTCTCATGGGAGCATCAGGAAATAAAGATCCATATTCATTAACAATATCTATAATTTCACATTTTTTATCATGGTCTAAGTGATCAAGCTTACTCTCTAACATGCTTAACACAACAGAGTTCTTCAGAATTTTATCCTCACATCTACTAAACTTTACATCGTCAGGTTCATCAAACTCCTCATCTCCCAACTCTACACATCCACAATTCACTTCATTGTTCACCTCACTCTGGTTTTCATTCTCTATATTTCCTTCATAATATGGCTTCATCAAATTAATATGGCATACCCTGTAATAGATTTTTTTTTGCATCTGCCTGGAGTGTTTACTACAGACCGGTAATTCACATCACTCAATTTCTTTTCAACTACCCATGGGCCACTGAATCTTGCTTTTAATGGATTTCCTTGCAATGGTAGCAACACTAATACTTTTTCACCAGGTCAAAATTCTCTTGACCTTGCATCTCCTTCTGTGATTCTTTAAAATTTTCCGCAGCCAGTTCATGTGCTCTTAACAACCTATCTTTAAATTCTGAAACATATTTCAATAGACATGGAGGGTTTTCACTCCCAAGCCATTTCTCCTTGAGCATACTAAGAGGGCCCCCCCCCCCCATGTCCATACACCAACTCAAATGGACTGAAACCTACTGACTCCTGCACAGCATCTCTAGCAAACAAAGCTAATGGGACACCCTCATCTCAATCCATTCCCAAGTCCTCACAATAAATCCTTAAGGTGTTCTTAAGTGTTTGATGAAATCTTTCCAAACATCCCTGTGAATGAGGATGATAAGCACTTGACAATTTCTGATTAATGTGAAAACCTCTCAAAATTTTCTTGAACATAACTGAAGTAAAATTACTTTCCTGGTCTGACTGAATAATTTCTGGCAATCCTTAATTAATTCTCTCAATATTTTTAGTATGAATACCCCTTAAAGGACTTGCTTCTGGGAACCTAGTTGAAGTACACATAATAGTCAACAAATAACTATTTCCCCTGCGTGTCTTTGGCAAAGGCCCAACACACTCTATCACAAATTTGCTAAATGGCTTACAGAAAGCAGGAATGGGTTTCAACGGTGCAGGATGAATAACTTGGTTTGGTTTTCCTACCCTTTGACATACAGAACAAGTTTTACAAAAAGTAGCCACATCTTTCTTTAAATTTGGCCAATAATATGTGTCAGTATTCTGTCAGTGGTTTTCCTCACTCCTAAATGTCCTGATAAACAATATTCATGGGACAAAGCTATTATATCACTCCTGTACCTTCTCGGAACAACTATTTGCCTTTTCATTTCCCAATGATCAGATACTGGAACATTCAGAGACCTCCACTTTTTCATTAGCACACCACCTTGAAAATAAAATCCTACTGATTCATCACCAGATACTCCATTCCTTTCAGCTTCACTTTTAAATTCTCTGAAACAGTCATCACCTAACTGACATCTTATTAATTCTTCTTTATCAACAAGAAAATCTGGATTAAAATTCCCCTTCAACTCCACCTTGTCAGTATTTGTTTCATCCTCGTTACATTTCTCATCTTTCATAAACAATTCATCGAAATTCATTTCATCAGCAAAAATATCTTCATCCTTGGCCATAGCCCTCGTTATAACACAAGCTGGGAACACATCAGTTGCCACAGCCTCCCCTTTCACCACATCATCAGAACTTGTATGGATCACATCAGTTATAGGTACATTTACAATATTATCTACATCACACTCCAAAGGATTATTAATCATTATTGGTTCAGGGACCACCCTGTCACCTGCCAAGTCATTTCCCAGCAACATATCTACACCACATATAGGTAATTCCTCACTTATAAATCCCGTCTCAATGTTAAAATAATGTAAAGGTATGGTCAGTCCTGAGTCTAACCCTCTAACCCTAACCTCTTCACCAGAGAATGATTCTGCCATCCACTCTAGTGCACTCTTGAGGACTAGGCTTAGGTTAGCTCCTGTATCCCTAAGCACTACAATCTCCTTCTCAGGACCTCCCTCCAGGGCTATTTTTCCCTCAGTGATAAATGGTTCAAAATTCACATTAGACCGTTTAATCTCACAGTGTTTGACATCTATCACATCTTAAGAGAACATCTCTAGGCTTTCCCAAAGACATAGTTAACCCAGCTGACATGAATATTCTTACATTGATATTTACCATGACCAACCTTACCACAGTTAAGACATTTCATTGGTGGCTTCCCTTGCCAATCAGCAAAATAATTCTGATCCTGTCCTTGATATCTTTCACCCATGTTACCATGAGACATTTGATTATTTCACCCCTTTTGATAACCTGAACCTTGGTTTTGCTACTTAGCACCCGATGAGATATTTTGATAATACTGTATTGTTTATTAAAATGCTTGCCTTCACCTTGTCTGTGTGAGATATCTTCTCTGTACATCTTATATGCCACTGCCAACCGATCTGCCAATCATGCAGCTTCCATTATATCCTTGATTTTACCTTTATTTATCTCATATTTCATATCATGATGTACTAAACCTTTAAAATGCTCCACTAAAATCATTTGTTTCAAATCCTCCAAAGTCCTAATCTCCTCAGACTTACACCACCTCTCAAATTTCATTCCACATTCTCTACCTAGTTCCAAGTAAGTTTGCTCAGGTAACTTCTTAATACTTCCGAATCTCTTCCTATACACTTCTGGATCTAACTGAACAGTTTTCAGAACAGCCTCCTTCACAGCCTCATAATCAACAGACTCCGTCAAACTTAAACACTTTACAGTAAATAACAATCATCTTGATGACAACAGAGTTGATGACTTACATGTCTGATTTTTAACCCAGAGAGTTCTGTTTCATATTTATTTATTGTTGAAGTGTAGTAATAACAGAACAACAACTGATTTTCTTTAAACAGATCAAATAAGCAGTGTCATCTCCACTCCCCCCAGCCCCATATATTCACTTTTTTTGGACTGGGATCTGCCCCAATTAGTGCAATTTCTTGAGGTTCTACTGAACATAAAAAATCACTTAATTTAAAACAAAATAAGAAATAGAATGTCAAAATACAGCAAATGAAAGTAAAAAATAAGTCATCAGGTAAATAAAATACTGTAAATTTCAAATTTAACACCGTTTGTATTGGCGGATGTTCGTAAGACGGGGACCCCCTGTATAGGAGTTGTAATCACAACAAATATACTGTACCATGTTGCATGTCACAGCCAAAGCTGAGGAGGTTGCAGTAAACACTGCTGGCCAGCATATGAGAGCTCCTGAAAACACCATAAGCTCAGTGAGTACCAAGACATTATGAAAGACTGAAGAAATATTAATTTCCCAAACCTTTATTTTATTAGTTCATATGCTCCTAGTGAATGAAAACCCCAAGCAGCTAAAAATGTTCATATGCCACATTTTTATCATAAACAATATTTTCTCGATTTAATGAACTAATTCTAGCCACCACTTTCCATTAAATTGAAATTTTCACTAAATAAAACTTTCCGTTATTTTTGCTCGGTTTTGCGAAATAGTTTACCAAATCGAGCGTGACTCCATTAAATTCCATGCCAATTGCGTTGCTTGGCACATGGGGCTTGTTTACATCCGCTTAGTCTGTGTCCTGCCACCACTGCGTGTGTTGTTCATTGCTCCCTCTCGGTCAACTAACTACCGTGCTGAGACATCAAACCAAAAGTCTCTCAGAAGTCTCCGAAAGGAAGTGGTGTGGGGGAGAAAGTTAAAAGAGCGTGGCTATCAATTGGAAAAAAGTTTGGAAATAAAAGACAAAACTGAAAACAAACACCAAACCCCCTAGTTTAAGGTAAGCTATGAATAATGTTTCTGTGTACATATCATGTGTCTGAGGTTTCTCAGTAGATGTGAGCATATAAACAGAATTAATCTCGATTCAGTGAACTAGATCACTAATTCGAGCGAAAAATAACGGAAAAAATTCATTCTGCTAAATCAAGAGTTCGTTATATAATTGTCCATTAAATTGAGAGTATACTGTACTGTACTATACAGTGTACGAATCAAACATAGTACCTGAAGCTTGAAGATTCATATTATGAAATCCAATTAATTCTGAAACGTGTGTTGCTCTGCAGTGCTTCCTGGTCTTCCATATCTGGCATATCTCTACATTTAATGGACAGTTTGTCAGCGACAATGTATTTAAGTTTCTTCACCAGCAACCTGATATCCTTAAATGTAACCTCATAGAACTGTAGACTCAAGCGCCAGCACCCATCACTGTCAAGTATTTAATATTTTAATACTTGTGATGAACTACTATTTCAGTTTTAGGCCAATATTTCTTAACCTAAGATCAAAACATTGGGAATTCTAAAAAAAGTTCTTCACATTTCTAAAGTATGAAGTAATAATTACTTGTATTTTGAAAACAACCAACATGTACAATTATGGTGATACAAGTGAATTATAGGTGATTTTACTGTAATAGTTATTAAATCTTAAGCTAAATAATTTCTCCAGCATCATATTACTATAGTAAAATACTGTACAGGTATATCCAAAATAAAAACCATGTTTACAGTACAATGACCATACTCACTGTGAATCACAGTGCATTCTTTCTATTCTATAGTTGGGTATCATAATTATGATACCCAAAATTTAGGAACCAAAATGCTTGTGTAAATTGGATAATTATGGTACATGAAGTGGATACTATCATAACCTGTGTCCAAGAATGGCATGCAATAAACCAAAGTATTTGGTCTCAGTTTGGTTATACAGTATCATTAAATTCTGCATAAAATTGTACACTAACTTATTTCATTATTTTCTAACACTAAATGTATACAATAGAGTATTAAGTTTACAAATAAGCTTCAATGTGTCATCATTCTCCAATAATCACAGCATACTACTACTTTGCTATCACTCGGAATCAATTATGATGATCATCCAGCCATGATACAATGATACGAGTTATTTAGAATGTCACCTTCATTGGTGACCTCTGAGGTGACTTGAGAGGCCACTACGGGACCGACAGGGCTGTCCAAAGATGTTGCACATGTGGAGGACTACATCTAGTGTGAGAGGGGTGGAGGTAGCATCTTCCTGACTCTTGTCTGCCTCGGTATGCAGTTGGGCTAACTTGAAAGTATTGGCACCTTCTTATGTGGTGCTCCTCCAAGCGTTACGGCGAGGAGTAATCATCTCCCAGATGAGGGAGTCAATTTATCACTGTCAGTTTTGTCTCAAGACTATCCTTATACCTATTCAGTTGCCCACCAGCATTACGTTTACTATTCATTAGATGACTGTAATTACCTGCTTTAGCAGTCTACTGTTGTCCATGTGGGTAACATAGCCAATCCAATGTAGTTGTTCATGGATAATGGTAGCCTTGATTCTCCTATAGTTGGTGTCAGCGAGAATACTGGCATTTGTTCTCTTGTCTGCCCAACGAACTTGGAGGATGGAACATAGACTGCATTGGTGAAAGTTTTCAAGTGCCTCCGGTATGTGACCCATGTCTCGCTGTCATACAACAGGGTGGGTAGGACCACTGATCGATATACGTGAAGCTTTGTAGATAATTTCAGCTCCCTGCAGATGAAGACACAGGTACAGAATCAGCAAAAGGCTTGAGATGCATATCTGATCTGATGTTGAATCTCTTCACAGAGGTCTGTGGTGGTGGACAGGTGGGTGTCAAGATACTGAAAGTAGGTAACATTAGAGAGAGTAGTAACATTAACCTATAGTTGAACCAGGGGCAAGCAGAAAGAGAATCAGAGTCTTCCGTACATTCACTCAACGCCGAAGTGTGCATACGCATCTGAGTAGGTTTTCAGGATCTCCTGTTGGTCATGTTCAGTGTGAGCGATGAGGGTAAGGTTCATCTGCATGCTAAAGTTCAGTGATGGAAGCAACTGACACCTTTGTTCCTGCATGGTACTGGATGTCCACATCGCCAGCTAAATTGGCACTGGCATGAGTAAGAAAGGCAGCCAACTTAGCTAAGAAAATGGAAGAGAGTTGGTGCCAGTTCACATCCTTGTTTTACCCCTGTTTGAATGGGAAAGATCTCAAGACTGGGTGCCATTGTGCAGGACACTACTGTTCATGCCATCATGGAGTTGCCTCACAATGGCAATGAATTTTGGTGGGCAGCCAAAACGACTGAGGGGTGCGCCAGTCGTAGGCCATGTACAGGTCACAACGCTGTTCTCTGCACTTTTCCTGTATCTGGCAAGCAGCGAAGATGGTGCCACGTGATGGTCTAAAGTAGGGGTCCGTCCGCAACCTTTATACACTAGTCGGCCACCTCATGGTGCAAGAACAGTAAGTCCTCGTTTAACGTTGCCCCCGACATCATTGTTTCGTTATAACGTCACTACTCTTTAGATGCCCATGATTCGGACAACGTCCCGCCGATTTGGTATAACGTTGTCACGGACTACTTTGTACGGAGCATCACCCTCTCTCATCTTGGCGCGCTACCCTCTCTCGCGGAGCTTCACAGCGTCCCTAGTCTTTGTTAGGCTTCCACAGCGTTCATGCGTTTTAAATGTTTTTCCTCTAAATACTGTACTATACTGTAACCATTCTAAATGGCTTCCAAGAACCTATCAGTGCTAGTGTTGTGAAGAAGCAACGCAAGACCATTAGCCTGGCTACGAAAATGGAGGTTTTAAACTGGCCATCAGTGAGTACAATACAAAATGATTTAGTTTATTTATCTTTTTGGATGTATAACATATACTATTTTCTATAAAAATTCCATTGAATTTATGAATATGTAATGTATTTTATGGGGCAAAGGGAGGCTGGGGAATGTAATTCCCGTATTTTATCTATTTCGTATGGAAAAAATTGGTTCTGTTAACGTCGCGGTTTTCAGGAACGGAACTACGACATTAAGCGAGGACTTACTGTAATAAGCGATTGGCCGCAGGTGTACTAAGCCAACATAAGTCAGCACTGTGTTCCACAGTAATCAGCAATTGGCCGCAGGTGCACTAAGCCAACATAAGTCAGCACTGTGTTCCACAGTAATCGGCGATTGGCTGCAGGTGCACTAAGCCAACATAAGTCAGCACTGTGTTCCACAGTAATCAGCAATTGGCCGCAGGTGCACTAAGCCAACATAAGTCAGCACTGTGTTCCACAGTAATCAGCAATTGGCTGCAGGTGCACTAAGCCAACATAAGTCAGCACTGTGTTCCACAGTAATCAGCAATTGGCCGCAGGTGCACTAAGACAACATAAGTCAGCACTGTGTTCCACAGAACTAAATGTAATATCAGAACTGCAGGAATATATATTTTATTGTCAGAAATTTTTTATAAACAACACCGATATTTAAGACTAAACATAGCTTTCATTTTCACCATATACATGTGCTGCATTAAAATAATAGCACAAGTCTCTAATCTAGTTAAATATTCTGTAACAAAAGCAGGGAAACATAGCTTTTAGCAATACAAAATATGGTAATATGAAACTGTCTTCAAGCAGTACAAAATTTAGATGTCACTCAGCAGGCCACAAACATACCCCTTTCCAGCCGCATGCAGCCGGAAAAATGGGGGTTGCGGACCACTGGTCTAAAGCACATTGAGATTCTGGGAGGAAGTTTTCCAACTCAGGAAGAAGTCTGTTTAGGTGGACTTGGGCGATAATCTTGCCAGCTATGGACAGCAGCGAGATCCCACTGTAGTTGCCAGTCTGACCAGTCTCCCTTGTTCTTATAAATATTGATGATGGAGGTGTCTTTAAGATCTTGGGGGATTTCCTCCTCCTCCCATATATTCTCCAGGAGAGAGAGTGGCCTCGGCTAGGATTCCATCAATCCCTGTGGCTTTGTTATTTTGCCTCTGCTTGATGGTAGTAGCTACCTCATCCTGGGATGGAAGACAGCTGAGGTGGGTCAGCTTTTGGTGCCAAGGTACCTGCTGGGTAGTCAGGACATCCACATTGGTGTTTAGGTTGAGCAAAACTGACAGATGCCTTCTTTGTTTTTAATAAGGGAGTAACCGTCGGATGAGCGGAGAGGGACTGCGCCATGAGTAATTGGGCAGTACATTGTTATAGTGAAATTTCAAGCATCTTGTGTTGATCTGCAAATTTTTGCATTGCACATGCTTTATTTTTCCACCATTCATTCTTTAGATTGCGAAATTCACGCTGAGCCATCGCCTTCTTTCTCATGAAAGGTATCAGCTTTTGTCCAAGATTGACAGTTGTTCTGCCAGTCAGTGAAAGCAGCACATTTACCATTGATGAGTACATTGATTTCTTGGTTATTTTCATCAAACTAATCCTGGTGTTTTCTTTTGATCTGGCCGAGGGTCTTGCAGATTTTTATGATGACAGCATCGAGGATACCCCATACGGCACATGGATTTAGGTTATTTGTTGTTGAGTTGTTTTATCAGCCCATTGTCGAGTTGTTGGGTTCTTTATCAGCCCATTGTCAAGTTATTCTCTGAAAGCATGTGCTACCGCTTGATCCTCCAGTCGCTTGACATTAAAACTTCTTCTCAAAGACTGTTGCCTTTGCTGTTTTGGGGTGACGTGAAAGGAGGGTTTGGCACTGACGTGCTGGTGATCTGTGTCACAGTGGTCTGAGCCACACATGGCTCAGGTGATAAGAACGTCTCGTCGATCTCTTTCTCTGACAACGATGTAGTCAATGAGATACCAATGTTTGGTTTGCTGGTGTTGCCAAGAACCCTTAAACTTGTCAGCCTGCCTGAACAAAGTGTTGGTGATAGTGAGGTTATGTTCATCACACTTGCTGAGGAGGAGTAGGCCATTGGGATTGCACTTGCCCACTCCATTTTTCCTTATGGTTCCCTGCCATAAGTCAGCATCTCTGCCAACTCTGGCATTGAAGTCACCTAGGAGCACAACCTTATCTTCTCCAGGGATAGAAGTTAGCACTCTGTCAAGGTCAGCATAAAAGGCCTCCTTGGTGTCGTCCTCTGCATTCAGTGTTGGGGCGTATGCACTGATGAAGAAGGCATGACGAGAGTGATTCAGTGGGACTTGGAAGGACAAGAGGCGCTGGTTGACCCCAACATGCATTTCAGTTACCCTATGTAGAATGGATTGGCAAATGGCAAAACCAACTCCATAAATGCGGTTTCTCTCCACAGCAGCCTTACCCTTCCAAAAGAACATAAAGCTGGACCAATGTCTCACAGTGACCCCAACCTCCCTTGCAAATTTCTGACATGCTGTAGCCAGCCAAGCACAAACCAATAAGCTGCCCATGACTTGCCAATGTATGTTCTTTAGCATTCCTCCTGGGCTGGATGTGGGGCAGTGCCCAAACACTGTTGCCACTATCACCTCGCGTTGATTTTCACAACTCTTTTAAACATATAACAGGGTGGACTAGTCGCACTAGTCCTCCTACCTTACCCGGGTCCGCCACCCTAACTCTCCCCACCCTCTTGTGACCTGTCGTGTAGAAAGGCATTGAACTCTCGGATATGGTAGTAGGAGGGGTGGATGTTTACTTTTGACCGTGACTGTATGTACAGGTATTCTTAAATTTCATATTAAAAATTTTCAATTCTCTCCTAAAATATATTATTTTGTATATACTATTAGGTTTTCAGTTGACAGTATACTATACTGTACACTTTGGGGTAGTTAATGTAGTGGCTGGCCTCTTGGACATAGTGGCGATGGTTGATGCACGTGGTAGAAGGAGATAATGTCACACAATATGTCCGTTCACTAGAGCGTCAGTGCGAGAACTGAGGGTGTGGGAGGGTGGCGGGCAGCCTTGTAGCGTGCCCAGACAGGCGTCTGGCAGAAACATTAGGCGCGAAACTTAAAATAGTGTGTATTTCCATATGATGTGCCAGATTGACTCGTGTAAATAGGAAAGATTCGCTTTAAATTGATACAGTGTCGTTAATCGTGGGTGTCGCTTTAAATCAATTTGCTTTAAATCGACGTTCTACTGCATAGCAACTAAGGAGAAGACAGTGAGCTGGTTGACCATGTATGAAGATAAGGTTGTTAGGATTGACAGCAGACAGTCTTCAATCTGATGCAAACTGACTGAATGCATTGGTGAGTACAGTACATAACTTACAGTATTTAATTTTCACACCACTTTATGTGGAATAAATTACAGTAGTTATGACACTACAGTTTGGACTTGTAGTAAAAATGGAGTTGGTATTAAAATGCATTTTGCTACAACAATACTGCAGTGTTAATTCCATAGTTTAGGTTAAGTTAAAGCACAAACTTGCCTATACCAAACTACAGTTTCCCATATATAACAAATAATGTAAATGTAAATAAAGTTACGTTAAACATTCATGTAAAAATTGGATTTTAGTTACAACCCTGCCAAAACAAAACAACAATAATATTCCATACATAACAAATAATGCAAATAATGTAAATAAAGTGATGTTAAACAATACAGAATAATGAAAGTAATGTAAAAAAAAGAGGGAGGGGGAGGATTTTATTTGTTGACATTATGATGAATATATTGGGATCCCGTTGATACGGGCATTTGTAACTCAGGGACATTTAAATGTCCTACTACACTTAACACCATTTGCAAAGCATACTATGAGACATACCTGGTACCAACTGTTTGATTAATCTTTAATCCTAACAGTAAAGGGTAGTGACAAATACTGTAACATGCAACAAAAATGCATTGCCAATAATATATTGACAAATAAATAACTGAATATACTGTATACTATACCTGTCAACCATTTTCTTTAGAACTTCCAAAACCCAGGGCATCCTCTCATTAGTTAAGTCAACCAGGTTGACTTCCAGGTTTCCACTGTAGTTTAGATAAGGCACATCAGCTGGATTGCATTCTGGAGGCAACTTGAGGGTCACACGGAGAGTTCTTACACATTTGGGCATGTCACACAGGGATTGAAGAGCCTCTAAAGTTGTAACAGTGACACAAATATTCTTAAGCTCATTACAGCCTGAAAAATTATGTTGCTCTTGTAGGCTGCCTTCAAAGTGCTCCAGAATAGACCAAGACATCACCGAGTCCAAGAATATGTCAGAGGTTTGGTCACGGGAAAAGAGATAGAGCTTCACACGATACTTCCTATGTTCACCAACACCTTGCATTTCCTCAAGGAAGAATGGTATTTTGTGAGGGTTCCTGCTAATTTTAATTTGAAGACTTCTTAAGAAAACTCGTGTGCATTTCAGCAGTTTCAGGCCTGATACAACATTTGTGTCATCAAGGATCCAATTTTCCTTTTGTAACTTTTCCTTGGTAATGATTCTCTTAACCTCAGGATGGTTCACAGTATCATAGCTTGTTTTATCCTGGCGTCTTATTATCGGATGACTCTCAGCAACGATGTTCCACCAGAAGTTAAAATCCGTGTTCTTAACCTCAGCCTTGTCAATTAGGTCAATTAACTCTCTTTCATTTCTCTGTAGAATTTCCTGACTGGCCATGTGACCTGTTAAATACTTTATAACTTCCTGATAATTTTTCCAACATTTGTGTAAGTTTGCTATGTCTCTTAAACTCCTGTTCTCCTTTTGATTTTTGTTGTTAAGAGAGTTGGTCAAAAATGCTGCAGCAAGATATTCCATCTGGGTTTTGTGTAAGAATTCATATATGGGCTTTCCTCTTTCAGACTTCTTATCCTTAGACATTAATACTTGATTTCCCTTGTCAGATTTCTTGAAGTTGTTATCCTCAGACATAAGAAAAGCTGAAAGAAAATCTTTTGGATCTACTTTCTTTTGTGCACATACTTCAGATATGTCATTAAGAATATTATCTTCCAGAATATATAATTCTTTCTCAAGCATATTTCAAGCATGCTCTCCTAAAGTAAGCATCAACTTTTTTAGAACTGCAAACATATCATTGTAAGGTCTCCTGTATCTGACACAGAGGCGCTGAGCTAACCTCTCCTGACAAAGTGTAAAAAGTTCTTCATAAAGACGTGTCGCTGTGGTAACTGTATTCACAATTTCTGAATTGTTTAACCAAAGGATGATTAAGAGAGCAGTGGTAAGTGGAAGCCTCAGGTGTGTGTCTAACACTCTTCCTGGTCCATCAATGTACTCTGAGAAATTTTTGTATTTATTCTCCTCTTTATACAATTTAAATACATTCTTAGAAAATTCCTTAAGTCTAATATCATCAAACCCACAAACTTTAATTGAAAGATAATCAATATCAGCATTTCTTGCTAGCTTTGTGGAACCACACATATGCACAGATCGAGTTGTGATGATCATGCGCTTGTCACCAAAGTCTCTAAAAATTTCTGTCAATAGATCTGAGATGTTTTTTTCTTCACAACCATCAATTATGAACAAAATATCCAGTTCTTGAAGCAACGGAATAATATCTTCCTTTTTTAACTTCTTACATGTTTCAGGCATTAAGTATTCACACAAATAATGTAAGACACTTTTTGAGCAAAATTTTCGGGCTTCCACATGAATAATGAGGTCAAAGCTACAAAGATTGTCAACTTCACTGCCTCCCTCCTGCCACTGATGGAGGAGGTACTGACACAGTGAGGTTTTACCAGACCCAGCTTGACCACAAAGGAATAGTGCTGCTGGAACCTTTTTTTCCCCTTTCACTGTCTTTGTCTCTGTAAGAAGATGTTTCATATTGATTTCACCCTTACTGTCCACAATTTCCAATGGGGTAAAAATCTTGTCTATTTTAAATTCTTTAAAGTGAGTATCTTCCTCCATCAAAATTATGAAAGGATTGAGAATTTTCAAGTTACTATAATAACCTTGTAGCTCAGCTTTACCACCATTTATCATTATAAACCTCTTATCATTCTCAAATACTGTTTTGTCATCTGTAGTTGCTGTGGCACCTACTTGGAACTTTGCACTAAAGATCTCATCAAGAATTTTCTCCACACTGGTAATATTGTCTTCAAAACTGTCTTGCACAACCGTGCCAACACCTTCGTAAATCTTTCGAATGGTAGCTTTGAGTTCTGCAGCAAAACTCTCCAGACTTTCCTCAAATTTTCCATACTTGTGGTTAATTTTGTTTCGTAATAGTCGCAGTGTATCAACTTGTAACTGACAATCCAATTTTTTGTAGAGAGAACTACACACAGTTTTCATCAAAAAATATGCAAAAGAGATGTCAAATTCTTTTATCATGATGTCACAACCCAGAAGGGACTCATTTACAGATTTAGGAATTGTAATGCCTGTCTGTTTGCAGTGATCTCCTACAGGTATTGTTCCTTTTGTTGACTTCAGTTTTCTAGCATACATAGCCTTAGCTACTTCACACATTGTTCTCTGTCCTGCCACATGAACACACTTGTATACTAAGTTGAAGAGCAGGTCTTGTTTAGAGAAGCTGTCAGGCATCTCTGAGGCTTTTGTCTTGATAGCTGGGAGGCTCAAAAGCATTAGGACACTGAGCAAGAAGGCTGCCAGAGGTGCAGCCTCCATTTCCCAGAGGGAACCATCCATTTTGTCAAGTTGATGTTTTATCTCACTGGAGTTTTCACACAATCTGCATAATAAACTGATATATTAATATCAATATTGTACTGTACAGTACATAGTGCTGTATTTCAATTAAAAAGAAGCAATTTCGAAAATTTTATATAAAAGTACATTAAAACTCCCATAACTTGGCATTTGATAAGTCGACCCGGCACCAGATAATTGTTACATTTTGAGTAATCGGCAAATTGGCACTAAGTCGACAGGAGCTGAATTACGCATGAAAACTGAGCAAGCCGACCCACGCTTGGCAGCCCTTGTCACTCCTTTGAGCATTAGTTTATGTGCACCTCTCATCATGGGTAGACATTCTGTAAAGTGCCTGTAAAGTGTTACTGTATAGATAGTATTAAGTATTATGTATAAAATGTACAGTACATAAAGTAATGATAAGTTTGTCAGGTCAATTTTCTCTATTGTACAGTGCCTGTGAAGTAATACAGTACAAGTACTGTACAATATTGTATAGAGTACAGATTATCTGTCTCTTAAAAGCTCATAAAAAATTTGCCACCCTTGCTGTTGGTAAGTAGCCTAATACACTTGTTTTTATTTCATTATATATTGTACTGTATATGGCTCAATACAGTACTGTACCAATAAACTTGCAAATTTTATTACTTACCATGGTCTCAGCTCCATACATGCCAAGTTATGGGTTTTTTCCTGTACAGTACAGTACAGGTATTTCACAATTTATGAAAGGATTCTGTTCCTGAAAAACCTCGTTAATAAATTGTTCATAAATCGAAGCTCAGTTTCCTATAGAACCCCACTCCCACTTAACATCTCAAAATGTTACAAAATTTGTTTTAGTTAACATTTTGGTGTATATACTAAATAATGATTTTAAGCCAATTATTAAGTGAAATGCTATACATGGAGTATAGTACAACAGTAATAATTCTACTGTATATACTGTACTTGTATGTACGAGGAACCGGACAACATTGGAAACAAACAAAATAATACAAAATGAAAAGCCAACATCTAAAAGAATTATTTTAGCCAAGGAATATACAGTACAAGGTACTGTATTGTCTACATCCCTGACAAGTTATTGCATCACACTAAATTCAAGCAGCTTGGTGTAGATGATGCAAACAATGCATTCATAGATGCTTGAGTTATGGTGACACTGGCTCAAATATCAGGCTGGATGTGCTCTGTATTCTTTGTTTAATATTGATCTTATCTTGCTTTCACATTGCCCTCAAACAAACACAAAAGTGACAGAACTGAGTTGAACAGTGTACTGTATTTGGGTTTTTCTGTGATGAATAAAATCATCTGACATTAGCCAAATAAAATTTTAATAGTGGTTCCCATTGTGAAGGGATTAAAAAGCAGTGCCTTAAACCACAGGAGAAAAAAAAAAAGGCAGCCTCTAGGCCATTATTTGATGCTACATTCATGGGTTACTGGCATTCTCCACACCTCCAAACATTTCTTTGCTGCAAATTCCACACTTTCTCTTACAACTCTACACCTTTATAGTACTGAACACCCAGTAGTTAGCATAAAAGTAGCTTAACGCCATTAAAAAAAAGAAGCAACAAAATCGTATCTAAAACTGCGCTAGCTAGAGTAAAAATTGATACTTCACAACAAATAAACATATGAACATATTATACAGTATATACAGCTCCTCCCCGACTTACGACTACTTGCACTTACGACCTGCCTCAGTCGTACCAAAATTTTGTCAAATTACATATTTTCGAGTCCCAAAGTCAGGACACAGACAAATTTTTTTTTTGTAATTCACTTTAAAATATATATACATTAATACCCCGCTTTAAGCGGTTTTTTTTATGTGTTTCTACATTTATGCGGTACCCTGCCAGAACCGGAATTCCCACTTTACGCAGTGCATCTACTCATATACGCGGGTGAAGTATAATTTTTGTATTTAGCTCATAAAATTCATACAAATTACCCGGCCAGAATATAATTTACATTGCTGGAATTCTTACAATTTGATAATCATTTTGAATATAAGCATCATAGATTTTGCATTAGACATACAAATTTTAGATCTAATGCAAGTATTTTCTTTACTCAAAGCAAATAGGTATGTTATCTTTTGTGCAAAATATATGACATGTCCAGTATTACCCCGCTTTACACAGTTTCACTTTCCGCGATTTCTCATTTATGCGGTACCTTGCCAGAACTGGAATTTCACTTTCCGCAATGCATCTACTCATATACCTCATATACGCGCTGAAGTATAATTTTTATTTTTTTTTTATTTAGCTCATAAAATTCATACAAATTACCCGGCCAGAATATAATTTACATTGCTGGAATTCTTACAATATGATGATCATTTTGAATATAAACATCATGGATTTTGCATTAGACATACAAATTTTAGATCTAATGTAATAATTTGGTTTACACAAAGCAAATATGTTATCTTTTGTGCAAAATATATGAAGTTTACACTCGAAATATTCCCTGACCTGCAAGGAATCCAGAAATGTCAATTATATTATCCTAACTTTAGTCTGAGGTATTATTTATTACTAAACGTTAAAATCTAGTGTTTTCACCCAATCATTTCTTAGAGAGGTAGGGGCCAGTGAGCTGGGAAGAGGAAGGGGGTGGGGGGGGGGAATTGAGTCCATTATTTGAATGGACATTAACCTGGTGACTGTAGTTCTCTTAAATACTAATTGTGTGAGCATACCATCATAAAATTTAGATGTTATTTTTACTACAACATAGATATTGTGTCGGAAAAAGTGGAGTTTGGGGGTCGAGCCAGTCTCTATTGGAATTAATCCCATATGTTCTGTTGTTCACTTTACGCGGTTTTCACTTTCCGCGGTACCCTGTGGGTTCAATTGACCGCGTAAATCGGGGTACTACTGTATATGGTACCTCGTGTTTCATACCAGCTGGATTCGGTAAAATGCTACTGACACCACATACGCAGCATGTGCAGTTCCCAATGAGGTTCACGGCGCCATCAGCTCGATGAACACGCTTTGTGTGAAATATAACAGAGCCTAGGACTGCTTTTAGTGTCCTTGTGGGTTGGTCAGTAGCGTTCCCTAGTCCCACCCAGTAGGTCGAGGGTTCGAATCCTGGCTGGTGAGGTCGTTAATTATATGCAAGTAAATCACTGTAGTTGCGCGTGATCCAGGTATATGCTGATAACCACAAGGAAAGAAGAAAACACGAAGTTCCCAAGCGCTTTCGTGTAATTCACATCTTCAGGGATGAGATCTGTACTCACCCCTGAAGATGTGAATGCCAGTTATCGCTGCTTCTCTGAACCCTCCACCCCTTTTCTGGAACCCGCATACCATCTATTGTCACAGTCTACCTACCTTTGAGCAACGCCATCTAGGGAGCCCAGAAGACCACATTATGACTTCGTCTTAATTTACCACTCGGTTCCTCCCTATCTCCTGGTTGTTCATCCCTTTCTCAGTCTTCTTTGTGGCTCCAATTCAGGGAGGCACTTGGCTCTGGGGAAGTGATACAGGATCATCTATCCTCTAAACCTACGTGCAGTGACTACCTACGTCTTCTATAATACTCAGCCCTTACTCGTCAGCCATCTCAGCTCCTCACTTAAGTACTTATATGTTGTAATGCTCCCCCCACGTCCACTTGCTTCAAGATTGTTTTATGTTTATTAATATGTATAGACTGTTAATGTTTAGGTTAGGATTTGGTTAAGGGTAATTTATAAGCTGAATATTTTGTTAAAGGGAATTTATAATTACTTTCTATATATATACAACGGCTTCATCCTTTGTCTACCTTTTATAGTCCGATTGTCTTTGTTTTTTTTATTTGTTACCTGTTGGGATCTGGGTAGGCGGTATAACTATATTCCTAAATCCCCAACTTCGTAACAAATGGCGGCCGTGACAGGACCGACCTTAAGTACCATATTCCTTCCTCCTTGTTACTCAGTGTTAGTATTCCTCAGTCACTTCTGTTCTCCAATTGCTTCTACGGTAGTTTAAAGTTCCCTTCATATGTGTGTGCATATATTGTGGTATTGCTCATTATAGTAAGGTGACAGACGGCAGGATATTAGGTTCCAAGTGTCATAAGGCTTACCTGTTGTGCATTGGCAGTTGTGTAATGGGAGTCTTGCTCGAGTGTTGGGAGAATCCGGATCTGTTTAATGCAGTACCCTCACTCCAGAGTAGGTTGTTCCATAGTCACTAGTTCTACGGTGAAGTGATATCTTGGGACGCCACGCTCTACCAGGACCCCATAATTATAAAGCCTCAATTATTGTTCTTCTCATTATCTCATTCAGGGGTCCGTCCTTCCATTTATCAGGGTTGTTTAATCCGGATCTTTATATTAATGCCGTATCGCCCTTCCTCTTTCAAGTATATCAGGGTTATCCGGATCTTTATATTTGTCACGTATCCGCCCTACCTCTTTCAGAGTCTCTTATCATATCTAAGATCTTCTCAGAAGAACAATAATCATAAGTGTAATTTCCTAGGTATAACTTGGTTGGTTTCGGGACTTTTCTGGTTATCCACTGCGTGATATTTTCTGGTTATCACTTATCTTATCTTTTGGACCATTAGTTAATTTATCCTATTTTTCTTAACAATGGCCACCTCAGGTTTTTTTGATCTTCAGGATTTTATTGAAAATCCTTCCGTGGCCTAGAATGCGTGTTATGTCCTGAAGAATGGAAAGAAATGGCAACTATTATAATATCCCATTTTCACAGCAACAGCTAAGGAAATGTTAAAAAAATCATGTGATTGAAGTGCTGCTGGTTCAACAAAGTTTTAAAAAAGAATCCGCTGTTATTGATTAACGCCCATGTCCAGGAAACTTCCAACCACTATCACCACCCCTCCTCACTCAGGGATTGCCTCAGGTCTGGCTAGCCCTCAGAAGAAAGCATAACAGATAGACGCCTTAGAACTAGAGCGAGCTAGGTTAGGTTCAAATCAAAAATAAGAAAGAACTAGAGTTGGAACAGACCAAGTTGGAGCAAAGGGTTGGAGC